GACTTTGACATTGGGAACGCCTAGCACTCGTGCAAGAGGTTATCGACAATCAACTAATTGTAAAGCAAACAATAACAGTTTTGCGTAAACTCTGCTATGATGAACGTTGTCACACCGATATTTACCAAAGCATAGGAAATGGGCTAAAAATTTAAACGACCTCGCTATTAGCTCTCGCTTGAATTAAGTGATAACGGGTTTTCTTTGTATGTAAGAGATTTGAGCAGATTGGAGATATAAGAACTTCTATGCCATCTTCAACTTATTTAACGATTCTAAGGGTACGCACACAGTGAAAGCAGGTTTGCCCGCGCGGGCAACCTGCTCCAACCTGCCACAAGAATGAACATAGGATAATAATGTAAGTGTTCACAGTGAAAACCTGTACGAATAGGCTTCTGTATTCTATGGTTTCAGGCGCCAGCCTGAGCAGGTAACCAGCACGCTGGCAACCTGCTTTCACTGTGTGCGTACCCTAACGCTTGCAAGCTTTTATCAAATATAACTTTCTCTGAAAATTTAAATTATGGGAGATGATTAGCGGAATTTACCTGAAAATGAAAAGGAGAAATTCGGGATTAAAAAGCAAATCTTATAAATAAAGATTAAATGTTATGAAGCTTCCAAGCCTCTGTTATCGTAGCCTGCGTGGTGACCTCATTGAAGTATACCCACGGTTCATACAAGGTCCCAGAAGGATTACTAGAATTTGAAACAAGAACCAACACCAGGGGTCACGGCTATAGACTAAAAAACTGCGTTGTAACACATCCATGCGACAACATTTCTTCTCGCTTCGAGTCACGACATGTTGAACAGCCTCCCTGACAGCATCGTTGACGCTCCGAGTATGAACGCCTTCACGAACAGACTTGACGAAGCTATGCAAGAGCATATGTTTAGTCATGAAATGCATAGCGCCTTACGGGCCTTGCAATAAGTCCAGCAGCTATCTCAATCAATCGTCAGCTGTAGATAGATCGGGTTCCAAAGGCCGGATCCCTCGTGAATCAAGTCACGAAAAGTATAAGAATCGTCAACAGGCCGTGGTCCGATTTCTTCGGTGCCGACACTTCTATTCCATTCTAAATCCATATCATGCCACGATGATGTCCGTTTCCACGTCGGCAATTGTCGGCATTTTTTGAAGCTTTTTATTGATTGTGAATGTCCTGCCACGACTTTATCAATGAGGTTCTGAAAACTTGACGCCTTGTTCCGTAAATATTAATCAACTGTCTGGAATGAAACGGCAATTAAGGTGTCTCCAAACCACTAATTTGTTATACTTTAGGCATCCTTAATTAATTCTGTTCTGGCACGACTCCTCAGAATCTCTGAAAGGCCAAAACAGCGTATAGTATAGCACATTCAGCGTTTATAAGGCCGTAGGCCTGCCGCCGATTCTTAACATAGCAGAATATTCACAGATTTTCGAGGCCTCGAACGCGCAAGTCACTGCTCCAACTCTACTGTAATTAACCGCCCTGCCTCCACGCCGATTCTTGCCAGAAACTGGCGCACGGAGCCAGGGGATCGAACCCGCATCTCTCTGCTCCAATCCTGGTATTTTGAACCACTAGGCTGATTGTAAATATTGTATAATTTTAAAAAAATAGCGAGACATTTTTGAAGGCCTTAATAGCCGGGGTTCTCGAAGTACTGCAGCAATTCAGCGACGTAACAGTCAGCTTTCGATTATTTGAAAAAGATGGAAATCTTTTCAAATAATCTTTTGATTATTTGAATATATTTGATTATTTGAATATTTGAAAATAATCTTTTCTTTTTTTTTTTAAAGGCCTCCCACACTCACCATTCCAACAAAAAAAAAGAATTGATTTTATTAATTAAAAACAGGGAATGGTTTCATGTCAATGATCAGGGCCCCGACCTTAACGCCTCTGATGGTGGCCTACACCGACTCCGAGGGTCACTGAGCTGTGACGCGAGCGAGGAGCGGGCCCACGTCGAACTTTTCTCTGACTGCTGTTAG